GTTCAAATATCAAAACAAATACCATAATCGGAATCAGCATGAAAAATTGAGTCCAATAGGTTATCGTTTAGTATAATCAGACTTTTCCAGACGCATCTCGAATGATCGAGATCGAAATCGACCTGTGCAACTCAAAAAGGCCGTCATTCGACTCAATTTTTCATCCTGATTCCGAATATGGTATTTATTTGTACTTTTGAAGTCATTATCATATCGAGAACCTTAAAAACATTGAAAAACTTTGGTTTTGTAGAAATCTCTGTGAATGATTGTGGTGACAGTTTCAAGTGAATCTGAGCTTCCCTAACCGAGAGGGGTGGTCTAGAAGACGGAAAACTCTCCAAATTTCAATGAAAACGATTTTTCTGTCCAACGAAAACGTTTTACGAAAATGTGCACACGTAACTTTGTGGAGCTTCCAAAGGCGTTTCGAATGAGATGTGAAAGAAAATTCTAGCATGAGAACTACAGGGGAAATAGCATTTGCCCGATCGTGGTCTGAGAAGTCCGGTTGCAGTTTTTGAAATTTTCTCAGATCAGGTGAATGAAAACCCAACTTTACTTTGTATGTGTCGAAATTGTACTTTTTGGGGTGCTTTGTATTTTGAACTTTTCACCCTGAAGAATGGGTGCAAAGCCGATTCTGATGATTACATAATGAAAGCATGTAAAACCATTAGGAATGTTCTAGACAGACTTTTTATCATTTAATCAAACTGTAAGGCGAAAAAGAAAAACAATAGAGGCTGCGGATAAGAAATGAATTCGCAAAAACATTTAACGAAGAGACCCAGTTTATCTTGTTTTTGATTTACACGAAGAAGAAAACGAAGAAGTTTAAATAAGAGAAAACATTTGCACTCGATGATTGCTCGAATCAGAAACGTACAAATTTCCCTTATGATCAAAAGCCAAATCATGGACAAGACCAAGTTGATTCGAAAGATTGCCCCCTCCTCCTCTAGGTCCAATTATTTCACCACTTTTTGCCCCTTTCAGCCATCGAACAATTCGATGATTGTTGCTATCTGCGATGTAAATAGATCCCTGTCGATCGACGAAAACAGAGTGAGGCGCATTTAATTGATTTAAATTTGAACCGGATCCATTTCCACCAGCCACCACTTCTCCTCCCTCTTCTGCATTCTTCGTCCACTTCATTATTCGATGATTCCACGTATCGGCTATGTAGACATTTTCTTTTTCGTCGACAAAGATTTGCTGAGCTGAAGAAAAAACAAACGGAAATGAGCCACTACTTGTAGAAAGTTTTCTTATTGAACAAAATTGAAGAAAGCTGAAATTTAAATCGACAGGGAGGAAAGGAAGAAAGTTCCTGAATCACTTACGTTGATTCAACTGATGAAGACCATCACCCCTTTCTTCCTGTCGACCTGCCACAAGAGTTTTATTTTGACCATTTTTATCATAACGGAAAACACACTGGTAATTATCTGCGACAAACAAGTGGTCTTCGCTTAGAGCTAGACCACGAGGACTATAGTTCAATTTTATTTTATAAGAATTATTATTGTTGTGTCTTTTGCAGTAGATTTGTTCCTTAGACCAATCACTGATAAATAATGTTCCATCTTTTGGATCAACAGTGACATATTGAGGTGACGATAATTCATTTGTACCATGGCTCTTTCCACCACTTACAACGATCTCTCCTTGTAAAGAACCATTTTTGTATTTCACCAATACTTCAGTTCTCGAATCGATAACATAAAGTGCATCCTTATCGTTAATATCAATACATATTCCATTTGGCCTTCGAAGGTGGCCGTATTGAGGAAAAGTCATTTCATTTGGGTTCACAAGTCCTTTGCTACAGCATGCACAATCGAATTTATCAAGATCATGATCATAATTTCCACCTGCCACCGTTTTTCCTTCGACATTCCATGCAGCTATTAGACTAAGGTAAACTCCGGGTTTTCGTAACTCACTTTCCCCAAACGACATTTCTCGATAAATAAATCCACTTACTTGCTTACAATAAAAAAAACGAATGTCGCACTCTCGATTTTTAACTTTTTCATAGGAGTGGACTGACCTTTTATAGCACTATATTTCCCACAATCTATTTCTGTCTTTATCTCGCTTGTAAGAAGTTACCGGCCAATAGTACCTGCCAAAAATGGCCGCCGTCGATAAGATTTTCTTTTCTTTCTGATTGTTGGTTGAATACGATTTCATGCAATGTCTTTGCAGTTCAATAGATGTCGCGTAATTCTGAACATGGTGTACAAGCGCAGATATTATATAATAGTAAAAAGTATTTTATTAACTTATATTTGATGTAATATCTTCGTGTGAGAGACGGCTTCAGATTAGATGTTAGATGATTCATTGTATCTTACTAGTTTTTCTTTACTAACTCTGAAATATCAAACAATCTTCCCTCTCATTCATTGCTTAACTGAGAGAACATTTTTTTGCTTTAAGACTCTGCAGCAACGTTTTACTTCGAGTCATTATCCATCACATTAAATAGCCGTTTTGGTCGAAAAATGAGTGGATTATGAGTGATAGAGTGTTCTTTGAGTATGATCTTTGGTGTACATCCAGTGTACTAAGTTAATGGTTTCTGATAAGTTTGAAACATTTTTATTCTTGTTGTACGTGAAAAACTAAATCAAAAAATATAGTTTTAACACCATTCGAATATCACATGACCCAA